TTTTTTTTTTAAACTATCCCATTTGATAGATAGTCTTAGTTTTGCATTTTATTTGTGAAGTTGGGGAACTTTAAGTTTGTAATTTGAACAATTCTTGCCAATGGGCTCATGCCCATTGGTAAATTCGCAAGGTGGGAATTGTGAAGGAATGATTTGGATGCTAATGGTTTGTATGTTGGATTTTTAGATTGTAATTTATATTTATTTTGTGGGGGAACATATAGTAAAAGGAAGGAAATAGTGGTCAAGACTGAAGACATGAATTAGAATGATTGTTTTTGTTATCTAAGGTAGAATGATTTCTGGAAATGGGTAAGGAATTTGCCCATTCTTGAGAAGGATGAATAAAATGCAGAACTGGGAAAACCAATGCAGCATTCCATTTTATGATTCTTAGACCAGAAGGTGTACAGTTAACTACCTAGATTGTCAATGTATTAGTATTCAGCTATGAGCTACTTTAAGGAATCAATTCATGGGATAGTGAGAGTAAACAGGTTGTGGATTCATACACTAGACCCGATGATTCTGATGGTAAGGATAGGCATTTTCATGTTTAAAGGCTGAATAATACAGGCTGAGGCCTATGTGAAAGTATTCTTGTGGCTGATGGCATGAATATAAACTTAAAACAATGAGGCACAGTTCTTTGTATAGAAATGGAAATGGGAAAGGTGGAACACAGTTAAGCGGGAAGTTCAGTTTTGTTAAAATATCTTTTCTTAATTTCTTCTTATCCTTCTGTAATTTTCTGCCTGCATATTTACCTAGCTTTTTTTAACAGGTTGCAAAGAACAATCAAAGTACTAAACCAAATAGTATTGTCTGCGCTGATTGTGATGGAAATGGTAAGCAAAACTGTGGCCACTTACATTATCATTGGTCTGGTCTTTTTGTCAGAGATCAGGTTTCTTCTTTCTTGTTTCATATAACTAAAAATTTTGGTGCAGTCTAAGGCTTGAAATGAAGCAGTATTGTTCTCTTGAAATATATGGATATTAATTTAAGTGTTGAACTTAAGACTTTCTGCTGTTGATATATATGGTATTGTAAACATTGACCTAGAATAAACTGCAAATTATAGATGAAATTCCTTTCTATGTATATTCCATCTGAAGAAAGATGTATGATTAGTTGATTGTTTTATGTGAAGAGTAAGCAAATAAAAGCATCCAGCACCTTGTTGTCTCTATGTAGCCAATGTTAACAGCTATTCTATGCTATATAAGCAACACGAAGTTGGTTAAACATGGAAAAGCTTAGATGCTGTGTACTTCATAACGGTTCATTACATGGAGCAGATAACAGCAGAGCTATATGTTTTCCTTTTTAATTTATTTTTAATTCACTGTCCTTCATCCTTTCCTACTTAGTATTTTTTCTTTTTTGACAATTTCAACTTTATAATTGATGAAAGTGAATAACAGTTTTATTTCTTTTCAAGTGTGTAAGAAGGCTGCTTAGCTAAAGGGTGAGCTTAATACTTGCTTGTTTAGCTTGACCTGCTCTCGAAAGAAACTCTTCCTATTGGCTAACTTGTTTCTTCCACATCATAAGTATGTTTGTCAGGTATGAAGGTTTTGTACTAACTGTCTTCTTTAAGCTGATCGTTCACTCTTCCAGACAACTTCCTTTATTAACCAATGTTTGAGTCACTATTTAGGCATTTTAAGTTTTTATTTGTCTTTTATTATTGTACTTGAGCTTTTCATGAGCATCACTTCCGAGATCCTTGTTTGAGTTTTCTTATTCTAATACAACCAACAGACAATTATAACTTGCATAATTTCTATATCCAACTATCAGGTGCCAAACAGTGTACTCAATGCAAAGGTACTGGAGTTAATTCTGTTGATCATTTCAATGGACAATTTAAAGCTGGTGGACTGTGTTGGCTTTGCAGGTGCTCATTTCCTCTCCGTCCTTCTCCTCCTTCCCCACTCCCCCACCCCAGTTGTTATAGCTTGTGTTAATATCATATCTGTCATTATCAGTTTTTGATCACCTTCAAGTTAATTACTCACTCCTTATCTTCATTATTCTGATGTCCCCATTAGAGGATAAATCAAGGATTAAATGTTTTATTTTTTATTCTGATTATTATTGAGAGCAAGATGGAATTGTGAATGTTGCACCTCTTGTTGGAAAAAAAATGAACTCTTATCTATGAGCAGGTCAACTGGCCAATATTCACAGAATTCTTCTGTGAGTTTTATGTTTAGGGCAGACCAGATTCTATAAGTGTCTTAAAAGAATTGATTTTACCTTTTTATTGGCAAAAAAAGGTAATTGATATTGATAGTTAGTATTGGGACTTCACTACCAAGAAATTCATCATTTCTAATTCTTGGTTCATCACATTCCTTCTTTCCTCACATGAGGAATCCTAAATTTGATGAATAAGGAACAATAGATTTGAAAATAGTGGCACAGGTAATGCTTTAATCTTCTTTCAACCATGTATTTTACTACATGGCATCACAATTCTTGGAAGCGGTTTTCTCAGTGCATCAGTAGCATTCTATTCCACAGTTCCGTCGTTAGATTAAACACTACAATTGTTAGCATGCAGTGTTTGATCCTATTGATGTATGTTTTGTTGCAGGGGGAAAAGGGAGATTTTATGTGGGAATTGCAATGGAGCTGGCTTTATTGGGGGATTTATGAGCACATTTGATGACTGATGTAAAGGCCCAATCTTGGTTTGTGTTTGTCTTCAAGAATATGTACTATAGACCATCTTTTGTAATTTTGTTTTGTTTCTTAGATAAAAGAAATACCTTTGTTTCAGTTTTAAGGTCGTTCTTTTGGAAATGGTTCAAGTACCTGTGGCCATGCCTAAACTGTAGCACCTGCTGTATGGCATGCAGAGCTTTAATATTTTCCTTACCAAAAGTTTTCTGTTACTTGTCAATCTCAGTATAGCTTGTTCTGTTTCAAGTCAGTAAATGATTCAAGCAAAAACACAAGTCACTAAAAAATTCAAGGATTCTGGTTTCAAACTTGTTTGAAAATTGAAAGCCATCAGCAACGTGGGTTTTCATCACCTAAATGCAAGGATGAATTTGAACATTTCTGATATAGTGGTAAAAAGAAAATAATACCACAACGAGCCAGGTAGGGGTTGAACCGACGATTCTCTGCTTAAGAAACAGGTGCCCTCGCATTAGGAGCTTGAGCTTGTAAGTTCTTCTAAATAGAATCAGATTGGCAACAAATTTAGAATTTCAAACTTCGATCTAATGTTTAGTAACAGAGATGAACAATAAAAAAAAAAATTTACAACGCGATAACCAAGAAACTGGTTCAGTACATGTTGCCTGTTATGGCAATGACGTTTTGAAGAATGTTGCCATTAAATTAAACAATCATCTTTCTTGATCTCCACCGAAGTCAAGTACTCGTCTCACGATTTACAAAAACTTTATAACCTAAAATAGGGACACAAAAAAAATGGGACTGTGAGATAACATTGTTGCTGTCTCAAGTTAATATTGTATTGTAAACCATAAAAAAAAATTTGCAAATAGTTTAATTAGTAAGAAAAATACTCGAGAATTACTTTGACTTTAACAAAAGCATTGGGAGGTTATTTTGAGAAATACTTTAAAGTCCATCATTGTCATTGCCATCGCCATCAATTATTGGACGCGAATCTACATAAACCCCTTTGAAAACATAACCAGAATACTTCCAAAGGGTCTTCCTTTATAGTTGATCCTAGAAAATTGGTTTATCTCTAAGAGCACAAACAAGACAAATTAGTTTAATTAATTACCTGTGCTTAGCACCTCGAATTTGAATATTTAACAAGTATTGGACATGTACACTTGATTATAATATATTAAAGCTAAATTATCGAGAGGTATAATGAACCCCGTACAATCAGGTCAAGAATATCAAGCACTTCCGTCAGATGATTTACACAAATTTCATACTTCTTAGTTTGTTCAAATTGTGATATGGCCAATGAAGGTAATTTCATATCTTAGGAAAATAGTTGCTCCATATAAAAAGGAAAAAAGAAGGAAAAAAAAAATATAAGACAGGTTCTGATACATGTCGTAGACATCTTGTGGCTTGCGCCATTACTTGCACAAGATCACAACAACAACAACAACAACAACAACAACAACAAAGCATGCTATGCACACTATGACAATATTAGTCGAAGGATCGACCCGGAATGCTTGAATGATTTCTCAGTTTCTTCCAAACAATGGTTCTTCTCATCTCTACTCCAGCTCTGAATTACCAGATAATTACATGTATGTTAGTCATAAATTTACCATTAACTTCTAGATTAGCATCTTCAGGGGAAAAATAGCAAAAGAAGGTCAGAGAGAACCATTGGTAAGTTCACAGGAGAATTCGGCATTAATACAAAGAAAATTTACCTCAGCAACTTTATTCAGCTTATCCCTCACATTTTGTAACAGCTGGGAAAGGTCGCCATCCCATTTATAAAATTCCAACTCCTTGTTGTCAAGTATCTTCTCAGCTACCTAATACAAAGGAAAAATGGAGCTCGATTACTGGACATAGGTCAAGATAAATGTACCCAAGGACTTTCCAGGGAAAGAGGGAAGAATGGGGAGGAAGGACCACATGGATCATGGAGAGTGCATGCATTTAACATGTTGCAAGATAAGTATGCCTCTGGGGTATCCACTAGATAGAAACTTAACAGATATATGAGCTGACCCAATTGAAAATGAGAGAGACAGGGAGACAGAGAGACAGAGAGCAAAACACCACATGTTTGCTTATACACAGTGTAGATCAGGACTGAGTAACATAGTCTTGAACACACACGTGAAGCTAGTATTTCTTATACCTTCTTTCCAATCATGCGACCACCAGCAGAGTGGGCAAAATATATATTGTAGAAGTGGCATATGAATGCTTGAGGATCCTTCTCTGATATTTCTTTAAGATACTCAGCATAGGTAACACCAGGAGAAGATGGCTCCGGAATGGCATAGCCTTGCTCTTTGAACCACTGTAAATCCCTTGACAATTTTTCAGACCTTTCCAATCCAGTGTTTCTGAATTCAGCATCTGCAGCAGACACAGGAATATCACTTTAGTTTTCTAGCAGTATCCTAGAAACAATAAAAAAACCACCTCAAGAAAGATTGCAAGCACATACATGACATGAGTGAGCTATTGAATAGATTGATGCATGATAAACCATCTTAAACTTCAGATAAAACCCAAAGTTAGCACCACTGATGCTTTTAAAGGCATTCATTTCAAGGATTAAACAGCTATAATTCAATCATCTAGTTGAGATGGTAAAAGTCCTTTGGTGGTTCTGTGAAAAACCATCAAATCTGCCTTCATCAAGGATGGAGGTTTAGAGGAAGAGAGAAGGCAATCCCATTTTGTATCCAAATCATTGGACCAAAAAAATAAAAATAGAAAAATGAAAAAAAAAGAGAGCAGTAGGCCGAAAAATAAATATGTATCTAGTATCTATTCCTCTTCTTGGTACAGTATAATTGGTACATTACACAACTCAATACACTACCTCTGCCCTGTCATAGCAAAGTGCTGCTTGGGAATTTAACCTCCCCACTGGCCATTCTGGTCAGTCAAGACACTCCAAGCCAGTTGACACCATGAAACCATCAAGTCATAATAAAAAATTATTATAAATATTTATAATTCTTAAAATTCCCCAGTACATGGGGTAATTCATCAACAAGTTTCAAATATGCATAATTTCATCCAACATGATCATGAAATAAAGTGCAAGGGAAGTCGAGAGTTTGAGCTACACACAGACATCAGAAGCAGTATATAGTAGACTTCATGGGGGTGACTGTCAAAACATGCAAAAAATATCACAGCATGATGCCCATCATTTCCAAGATTCTTAACAAAATTTAAGGTGTATATTAGTGATCATCATTATTCAGGTGAAACATACCAAGAAATTTATCATGGAGATCTGCATGATCATGGGAAAAAATGAAAAACACTAAACATAGAACCTGTTAGAAGAAAGAATAGAATGAGACTAACCCAAAAAGTTGTTCAAGTGGATAAAATCCAGAAGCCTAGACAAACTAAAACTACTTACCAAGTTCCTTTAACAATTTGAAAAATGCAATCACCCTTAAAGCCATATACTTCTATTTGAAGGCTCACAGACATATAGAATCGTTGCTCAGCAATGATTAGTATTAGAAACTAATTATCAATCTTCAAACTCAAGTACACACTACATACTAAAGTCTCAAAACCCATACAGAAGAATAGATCACTGATTTAATGGAAAAAGACGCATTCCATCTTATTCTTGTAGACTTTTAGTCAAAATCGAGCTATGTTACTCCAAGTTCGCTCTTTGGTGCCATCTAACAACACCTAACTACCATCATGAAAAACACCTTCGGCTCCCTTCTTCTCTTACTTTCTCTTTCTAACCCCCTCTTTTCGTGCATATTCCAATTCTGAAAATCAATCACGATACTACTAATAACATAGCTTTGATGAAACTCCATGACATTAAATTCACTCCGATAGATAATGTATTGACGTGGAGCCCCATCTTAAATCAAATAAGCAACCCTTCACCTAAACAAAAATACTACTTTTAAGAGGTAGGTTCACAATAGTAAAACTTAAACAACTATAGTAAAATAAATTAAACAAACACATATCAGAAACAGAAACATTAACCAAGTCTAGAAAAAAAAGCTCTTCCAATCACAAGAAAAATCCAAAAAAAAAAAAACTGACGAAAATAACTAAAAGAGCAAAAGGGTACCCAGAAAATTAAAAAAAAAAAAAAACTTACAGCTAGGAAAAGCAGCCTTATCTATAATCCCTTCAAGCGTATCATACACCAACTTGCTATCCATAAGGAACTTCAAGTAACCGTCAACGGTGGGCTCCCATTTCACCACGGACCTTTCTTCGGGCTCTTTCACTTCCTTTTCTCCTTCCTTTGCTTGCTCTCCTGTATGCAACTTCATAGCCACAAACCTCATCTCCTCCACGAACCCTTTAGCCTCGCCAGGGTACCTCTTCCTGGGCTTCTCTGCCGTAGTGGCCGATACGACGCCATTCCTAGTAGCCATCCTTGGGGGAAGTTTAAAAGACTGAGTTTTGAAATATGGGTAATCCCTGGGAATAAAACGGAAAGAAATTGGGAGACGGAGGGTTAAAGTTAATTTTGGTTTTTTAAAAAGAAGTCGCATTGGGGAAATTGGGTCAGAGACGCCATTGAAAGACAGGTTTCTTGCTGGGTTATAGAAGGGATTTTTTTTTTTTTTCTTGGTTGTTGTTAAGAAGAAGAAAACGAGAGAGTTTTCAACAGAAAAGAGGAGACTGAAGGCTTGAATCGGCGGTTCAAGTACTCTTGAAGCTAAAGCGATAGAAACAAATTGTCTATAAATTAAAGGGTAAATAATTTTAAAGGAAAAAGAAATTTTGGGGGTTGCTTAAAAAATGGTGAGTGCAATGGGCAAGGGTACGGATTGCTTTTTGGTTGTGTCTATTATCTGGGAGGCATCTGCCATTGCTGTGTTATTGGACCTTGCTTTTATTCTTTAAATAATTAGGACTTGAGAGATAAAGAAAGGAGGCGGCTAAAAATAGAATTGTTTTTTCCTGCCATGGAAATAAAATAAATGTAAAAGCTGTATTATTTTAAAATACTATACCATTTATGGAATACCGTATTTATTGTTTTATTTCAATCATAAATTACTAATATTATTTTTTTATAAGATCTATGAGTATATATTTTAACTATAATTATTTTAACAACAAAAAGATAAATTATTGAGGAATCTGTATAAAAAAAAGTTTATTGTTAAGAAAAATATTTTTACCAATATTTAATGGTTAAAACACTCCTTAGTGCCAGTGACAACTACTATTTTTGAGTAAATAACAGAAAAAAACTACTATTTAAAACTAAATAAATTTATGCTTTTGAGATTTAAAATTAGCTAATTTTTACTAAATTTCATCCATTCCAACCTAACTCGTAAGTGAATAAAACTTTTATTGTAAAAAAATGAGGCATTACAAATATTCAAATTAGCTTTCTAAAATAACAAAATATATAAAAAAGTGGAGCAGGGATTACACAAGCAACGTCTGCTCAAAACGACGTCGGCATGAGCAGAATAGATGGTCCAACACGAGAGCGGATGGCCAGTTGTTGCGGTGGTTGGGCAAAGAGAAAAAAGTCAAGGTATTTCACCTGGATTTATTTGTGGTCTTGGTTAATTGTGTGCCGTGGAGAATAGAGAAGTGGAACAAAGTTTTGGGGCTTTGTTTTTTGTTGGCTTTCTTTCTCCGTGGACTTGACGCGTCTTCATGAAAAACGTAGCAAGTTACGTAAAAATCCAACGATTGAGTTCCTATAAATGATTTCAGGAATTTGTTGTTATTTATAAAATTTGTATATAAATATTTTATCTTAATTTATAAGGTAAAATATATTTATTTTTTAAAATTTTAATCAAAATTTTAAACAAATTTATTAATTTTCGAAATATACATTCCATTATAAAAAAAATCTATTGGACAAATTCAATGTTAGTATTTTCGTTAATTTAATAATATAATAATATTAAAAAGATAATTTTATTTTTTATTAATTTTAAAAATTACTATTGTATAATTTTTTTACCAAAACAATAAAAGGAGAGATGAAATTTTTAAATTTTTTTTAAAATCAATAAAAAGATATTTTCATATTTTCTATTAACGATCTTCATACTTTTAGGACGTACTATCTATTTCTAATATTAATGAACCCACATAAAATTATGTCTAAAAGTTAAGAAACAATGATATTTTACCTTAATTTATATTTATAAATACTAATAACTTTATATCCTTGAGTACTATATTTCAAGTCTAAATTTATTTATACGTTTTTATTCGATATAAATATTAATTGCTTTCAAGCATGGTTGATTAATTCACATTATCTAATTATACATACAAATATCAAATAACAAATTTGTTCAGGTGTTGATAAAACAGCGAGCATTATTGACTATTATCATCTTAATTTGCATTGAAAAAAATTTCTCATCATTATTGTATAAATGGGGACAACATAATTTGTTTTGTAATTTTATTAATATAAAATAGATGGAGTTAAATCTTTAATATCCAATAAGAATTAAGAAAGTAAAGCATAAAGAAGAAGATTTCTATTATTTTTCAATTAAAACTCCTTAATCTCGCATTCTCGTCTCCATAAATTTGCTTCTGGTTTTTTTTTTTTTTAACTCTCCATTGAGGGCTTTGTTTCATGGTATTTTTTTGGGCTTTGTTGGGGGATCTGTTGATAGCAATTGTTGAAAGCTGGTCTCTCTTGATGTTGGGGCTGGTGGGTTGCTACTGACCTGCTGGGCTTTGCTTAGAAGGAATAGTTAGTTAGTTAGTTAGTTAGTCAGTTCCAATAGCCATGGAAGAACAAAAGAATGCATAATATAATTGTTTAATACATATATATATATAAATATAAACTATAAACTTTAACAATTAAAATGTTCCCCAAAAACCTATATGAAATTTAAAAGAACAAAAAATCATTCATAATTATGCTTAATGGGCCATTTTTTGTTTGGCGTGGCTTGCTTATATTTGCGAAATAGTTTTAGTGTTGGCAAAGTTAAGGTGGATGTGAAGGTAAAGGAATGAATTGTACAAAACTTTAAATGAGAGTAAGCTCCTAATATATGCTTTTTCTCCTTATGATTCATTGATTTCTGACGGAGTTATATTGTTGTGTTTGACCGTTATTAATGAAGTCGCTTTGGCCGAGTGGTTAAGGCGTGTGCCTGCTAAGTACATGGGTTCATCCCGCGAGAGTTCGAATCTCTCAGGCGACGATTGTTTGCCTTTTTCACTTTCTATTTTTTGGCAACTTGATGCAAAAATACAACTCTTCAATAAAATTTGAGAGTGCACAAAACAAATTTTTAATATTTTTTTCCTTAATTTTATATATATTGATTCATGATGATTCTGTTGCTGTTACGCTTTCTATCAGCAATCAGTTAATCTTAGAACAAATCTTCCTAATCTCTCCTTCTGAACCAGTTTTGACCTCAATGCTGCTCATCTTGATCATTGCTTTCCGAAACTCAAAATCAAACCTTAACCCCAACAATCCTCTTATGTTCCCAGCATAGTTGTCTACTATGCTACGTGTAGCAGCATCCCCCCAAAGCCTCTGATCTGATTCCAAGACTCCTTTACCATCACGTACATTTTTGAAGAAGCTCACATCAAATTTAGTCTGGCCATCTATATCTAATGCAACCCTTTTCGAGCCATCACCATTTTTGGGACAAAGAGTTTGAAGTTGAGCTAAGAAAGATTGGTTAATGGTCGGGTCTGCACTTCCAGTTGTTGTGAAGTTGTATAGACGGTATCTGAAGAATAAGCAATCCGTTTGGCCGATGGTATGTGCCCCTGCCATAGAAACATGTGTACGGTTGGAAAGTTGTTGCTTTAGTTATTGTTTTCTGGCCAAGAAATTAAAGGGAGACACGTATATACCGACTAAAGTTACAAGATCACGATCGTCGAGGCCTTTAGCAGCAAATTTTTGCCTTTGAGCAGCGATGGACTCAAGTGGAGAAGGTAAACTTGAGGTTTGAGATGATGAAGACACCCTGCCATCTCTTCTTCCGGTCGGTACAGTCCAACTTGGACCATCACTCTGACATATGGAAACAAATGAAACCCCTTGAGTTGTACTTTGAGCTAAAATCATGTCTGTTTACATCTATATATATATATATATATATGTGTATGTTTGTATCTCTACGTATGCGTGCACGTATAGGTTACAAGGCGAAAAAGATTACTACCAAGTCAACAGCATCACGAGCAGCCAGCGCTAGTATATCAGCACATGAGACCACTCCAGGGCATAGAGCTTCTAGCTGTGCTTTTGCATCGTCAATTACTTCGAATCCTCTTAGACCAAGGTTTGGCAACGCACTTCTCTCAGCAGAAGAGCCGGAGATCAGCACCGAACCGTCACAGCCCTGAAAAAAGTCATGTCACTTTGGCAAATTAGATTTTAATTGAACTGGTTTGATTTTATTTATGCAACATAGAAGAACATAGAAAAATGAGTAACCAAAGCAACCTGTACAAAGCAGTCATGGAAATGAAGCCTGAGCAAGCCAGCAGCAATTGTAGGATCTTTATTGAAGTGTGATTCAACTGTAGACCTTACAGTTGCCTCAGCCTTTGGACATGAAGAAGAATAAAATCCATTCCGCAAACCTCCCTGTCCCTGAACTAACAAGACCATCATCAAGTTCACTATAGAAACGAACCAAACAGCTCCCATCTTCACAAATGGTAAACAATACCAAATCATAATTAGGCAACCAGGTTCTGTATTTTACTACCAGGGCAGGGCAGCAGCATTTATATATGGATTTGCTTAAGTTGCTTTGTTGGCCTGTCTTTTCGTCAAAATTTGGAGCTGGCCCTGAGCTTCTTTTAGTGGAACGCGTGGGACCATTTAAAATAGTGCTCTCTCGTTTAAAGATATAGCGAAAGGTTTTGAAGGTGGAATCACTGGGCATAACTGCATATCATTATGCTTCAAGAAATGGCAATTGATAACGTAAGACGCCTCTTTACTAATTATCTTCTGATTCTTTACCTTTATTCCTTAACGCGTTTTTCTTCTTTTTAATGTTGAATTAACAGTATGTCTCTTTCGTTGTCCTTCTTTTGAGATGTTTTTCTTCGCGTTCATATTGATCAGATTCAGTGCACTTTCGAATTTGAGTTATGCATGCATAATTGTCTGGGCAAGGCAGGCTTGAGTTACCGTAATTAACATGCAAAGTATAACAACTCCAAAGTGGGATGCATGGTGTACATGATTTGGTACGTGGCAGCCTTGGTTCTTTCATTTTGTTAATGAAAAAGGACAAGGCATTATAACAACTCTTGCTGAACTTAACAAAAATAGGGTTAAATTAATGGACGGTTTGAGATAGAGATGGTGAATCAAAGGAGCTAGCTACCATTATGGAATGGGACGGATAAGATGAGAAAATCATTGAAGAGTGACAAGTGGTTCGTGGAAAACAGTTTCACCCACATAATTTGGTGGGATCCGGCCCCTCCATTCCTTTTCTGTGTTTTGTCATATTGGGAATGTGGCGGTGTGAAAATATTAGTAAGTAATCCTATCTCAAATATTCATTCATTCTTGTGGCAGATCTTAAGCAACTGATTTGTCTTCCATTAATTGTTTTTATGGTGAACGACCAGGATAATGGATGGAGCTGGTTATAGACCAATGATCGACCAACAATTGAATATATCGTTTCCCTTTTAACATTTCATTGCTAGTTTGGTTTATATAATCGGATCATTCCCATTTCCTTCTTGCATTCATGCACCGAGCGAGGTTTTATTACTGATATACTTGTAAACAATCCCATGTCCTCCATGAAAAGTGTGGTGTAGCAGACATTGGAGCCTGATATCAGCACAGTGCTGTTTCTGGTGTCCGGATGATGTGGTTCTCACCTCCGGGGTCTATAGAAAAAACCATATATTTTTTTTAAATAATAGGGATAATTTAATTATATATGAGGCAAAAATTAAATAGATCAGTCACCCTGTAGATGCATTACCACGTGCATTTTCTGCCAGGGTTGCTAAATAAATCTATAGGCTGGTTTCGCATGTTTTATGTAAAGTCAGGAGAAAGGAATGGTTCTCTAATGATTAAGTATTCTTTTTCAAAAGGTCGCTTAAATAATGATTAGTCCTTGGAATTAGGTGAGGGAAGTAATAAATAATTATATTCTTAAAAAAATTTACAATTATTTGAAAATAGCAATATTTATAATTTATTGCAAATGAATGTTTATTTTTTATTTTTAAATAATTAAACATGTTAAATCTAAGGAAAAGAAAAACGTGTGTATATATCCATGAAAAGGATTTGGGCCATAACAAGACTTGTCTAGCCTTACCTTGGATCGCAATTCCGAACCCAGTGCATCTACATATACTCAAAATATTATTAGGTACGATTACAAACTAGAAAGTTTCCCTTCCACCACAAAGTTTCTCCTTTTCCATTGAATAGTTCAGTAGGGAGATCGGATTGCATATTTATGCTTTGTACTTAGGTATAAAAAGCCTCTCAACCATTCCGTTGTAGTCTAATTGGCTAGGATACTCGGCTCTCACCCGAGAGACCCGAGCAACGGAAAACTTTATTTTCCTAAATAAATTTTCAATCATGTATTTCTGATAAGTAAATTCCAAATCTAATTACAGCCTAGATAAGTTTAAATAAATGAATTTCTATTAGCCAAACCTGGCCATCAAAATTAGAAAATGGTTCTCTTCTTTCTAGAAAGTATTATGCCGTTGACGTCCTTTTGCCTCCATTGTGTTCTTCATTTAATTATTTCTCAGCAAAATAATAATACTAATAAGAAATCGCTCTTGATTTAGTTATTAAGCAAAGGGACTAGGGACGCCACACAAGAAGCAAAATGAGGGAATATTTTCTTTTGGCAACTTGATTAAAAATGCAGAAGCATTTGGAGTGTACCATAAGATTCTTTGGAAACGATACAAAAATATGCAATTATTGCATTACCTGTTTGTTAGGAAACTTCGTATGAATCGTATTGTTTCCTTGGAGCTGATTCCTTTGAAAGACTCTTTATTTTCAAGATTCAAAAAAAAAAAAAAAAAACAGATCATCGCTCTCTCTCTCTCTCATTTACCCTTTCCCTTTTCTTAGAAGGTTCTTTATGTATCTCTTGTAAGAAACCATCTCCATCACAAGCTTAACATCGAAGTGGCATGAATGAAAACAGAGGTGTCAGTCTTAGGGGTTAGGACATTTGTCTTTCTTGTCTTTTTTTTTTTTAAAATAAAGATTAAATTTTATTTATGCTAAAAACTGGTATAGGTTACAACTTATAAACAGTGAAATTTCAGTCTACTTATTACAAGTTGATTAGTTGTTTGATAAGTAGAAAAATTAAGAGTTTAATTAGGAATAGAGACATTGTACGAGGAAATGAATTTGAGCATTTCATATTTATAGAAGATTAAGTGTATCCCGTTGAAGAAGTTCATATTGCTTGAGGTGAATTAATTATGATAATAATAAGCTTGATCCAAAAAGACCCATCGATTGAGAGATTACTCACATCGATAATGGATAGAAATCTTGTGGCCTTGACTTCACCCTTTGACAATTTGCGTTGCGAGATGTGATAGGATTTGATACTTATAATACTCATATACTTCGTATCGTTGTACAAGAACCAATCATTCCTTTATCTCAACACAACTGCCACACCTACATGTGAAGAAAAAGAGCCCATTGATATTAATAAACAAAAATTTATGCTTATACTAATTCGCTGTATCTTCAATATAGCATTTACAGGTGTTAGTATCTAAGATTTGCATTATCGTACCATGGAATGTAAATGTAAAAGAACGAAACAAAATAACACGGGGCAGACTAGTACAATTCCATTATTACAAAATTCAATCTATTTAGCTGCTTGTTCGAGAACAGGAATCTTTTTCCACGTCTTGTCCAACCCGCTTATTTGCAATGGAGGCAATGAAAAAACGCTAACAGTTGAGCTTCCGCTCCGAATTTCCTTCAAAACACGCAATGCTGATATACTGCTTTTCATATAAAGGCTCTCCATGTACTCTATCTCTGCCAGCTCTTTGGGCATTCTGAGCAGATCTTCACTCTTAGAAGTAGAGGACGTTGAAGGATCACACCCATCATCCTCTCCATCCCTGCTATCATCCCCGTTCTTTGCTTCAGTTGAAGCTGGCTTTTCATTCTTGGGGAAGAGACGATCTAGCATTGCCTCACACTCCTTTACAAGCTTATAAAGCAAGTCTGTAGTGAAAAAGGGCTGTTGCAAGACCCTTTGGATGAAAGGCAAACGGATCAAAGCCCCAGTTCTTTTGTCATACTTCTTCAGTATTTTCACCAATCCTGTCCAGAGCATTGTGTTAATGATTTATCCACTTGATATGGTAGGCACTCTTGTTAAACTAGTGTTAATTCCCAAATACCAGGAAAAATTTCACTTAATTTCTATTCGTTACTACTACTTAAATAATAAACCACTGGCAAAAGCAAATTTTTTCCATACAGAATGATCTTCCTAATAAGCCAAGTGTAAACCATTGGATCCCCCTATGTGTGTTCTTCTTTTCTCAAAATTATCTCCTCGGCTTTTCAGTTCTCAAAGTAGGGAGGTAAAAGCCCTACAGATAATGGACCAATTTCCAAGGAAATTAAAGTGCAGGCCTGCTCTACACTAGGAGGATAAGAGGTCCATTTAGGACAAACTGATACTATTATCTTAGGGAAGAACAAAGAAATAATTCATATGCAGCCCACATACCATCCTAATAGTTTATAGAGAGAATTATACGTCAGACAAGACTCGCATAAAATTCATAATACACTAATAGTATAACATTATGATGCCTGGACCATAAGTGCTCCATATAATGGCTGCATATGCTGAAGCAAATGCACTGAACACATTCGCATGGGGCCATCTAAAGAAAGATTGAATATTTAATGTTCAATTAAAGAATGGATGTGGATAAGTTGTCTGGGAGAATATTGATGTCAAAAGGAAGCATGCAGCAGATAAAGGGATAAGGTAATTCTGACTTCAAGAGAAATGAATCTTGCAGGCTGTTCTACAGGAATTGCAAGTTGCTGCAAACCTAATCATTCCCTAAACAACTCATTCGGCCGAAGTGGCAATAACTTAGATTAAACAAACAGAAGAAAGGAATAAGAAAAGCTAGATTAAACAAACAGAAGAAAGGAATAAGAAAAGCTGAACTACCTGTGTAGTTAAGGGCGCTATAATTCTCTAACAAAACCATCTCTCCATGGAAGTCCACTATCTCTTTCCTAATGTTGGTCAACTCTTCATTAGAAGCCTTCGCCTCCGCCACACTGTCTTGTAATTCCTGCATCCCAACCCAAAATAACTCACCAAATGAGCATAAAATTTACACAAACGAAGAACCCACAGAGCTAAACTTTAAGCATTACGAACTAAGATTCTTTACCCACTAATACACATAATCAAAACTTTTCTACATATAATAAATTTTTACCATAAACATTTTAATAATAATTTCTGAATCTTCTATTCATTAATCCAAGCTTACTCTTATGTTTTCAATTCAACTTTCAAGCACGTAATTTTTTTTCTTTTTAATCGAACGCCCATAGTCTTGAAGGTAAGAAAAAGTTACGTGGCAGCAACATTAACATGCAAACTCAAGACTGTGACTCAAGGACAACCCTTTCCTTTATGTGCGCCAGTTATCCAAGGAATTTTCCCGTAAGTTGCCAAAAAAATGTTAACGGTTTAACGGAACCGTTACGGACAAACAAACAAATTTCAAAAAAAAAAACAAAAAATGCTTTCTTTAGTTAAACTAAACGACAACGTTTATGGCTTGTTAATTAAGTTTACATCCATGTTTGTTTACCAGGAAAGCAGGAGAAAGAAACGAAACGAAAAATAAAAAATTTTCTCCGCGACCATACAGATCGAGATCAAACCAGAGTTGGAATTACCTTCAATCTAATGATGTATTCTTCCTCTTTCTCAACAAAAAACGTGTTGAATTTCTCGAGCTCATCTTCCAAAAGCTTAATGAAATCGCTCTCCTCTCTCGACATGCCTTCACCGACCTTATCTCCGGCATCGACAACATCACCAAGATTTTCATCCAATCTAGGCCGTTTATTCGGCCTCTCACCGGACTTCGGCTCAATAAGCTTCAGTTTTTTTTTAAGCTCCTTGTAAGAAAGAAACTTGTCCCGCCATTCAGGCAAAGTCTCCTCGATCTGGTTACTGAGGCTCTTTCCAAATTTCATGGCAAAACACTTTGTTTTTTTTATCTAAGGGGGCTGTTTGGTTGGTCAGAAAATGAGAAAGAAAGCGAGGCAAAAAGAGCAAATGGAGGGGGTATGTGTGAGAGTGGGGAGGGGAAGCAGGTGAGGGAGAAGGGGAGAATATAACGGGAAGCGGAGAATATTCGGAGGGTAGGGTTGCGAATATCCGTTGGGTTTCATAAGGAGAGTATATCTTGGGTTTTATTCCTTTCGGAAGAGAGAGGTGTAATTTTTTTATTTGTTTGTTTAATTCTTTATTTATTTTATTATTATTTCTTTTTGGGGCTAGTTTATCTTTAGGGGAGTTAAGATTGGGCACGTGGCAATGGTATTTTCATTTGTACTGTGGGTGTTTTCGTAGCGGCTCGAAGGCGGGGTCCAGGGAGGCGTTTGTTTGGGTCGGAATTGTTGAGTCGAGGGAGCTGACTGTGATTGTGATAGTGATTAGGAAAGATATTTTAAGTTAACGTATTTGGTCAAATTACCAATGTTTCACTATTCAAATTCAATTTTATGTTTGCACCAAATTTATTATTTATTCCTGCTTCCAGCATTTCTTCACATTTGAAAGTAAAAATAGATGGCTTAAACTTGATTTTTTTCATATTTTAATTGTGTTAATTTATTCATAATTCTCTAAACATAATTCATTTGATTTCTCTACCTACTTGTAAAAATTATTAATTCAACATTTTATTCAATAATATGTATATGTATTTAAAAAAAAGTTAAGCTATGTTATTCAAATGATAAACAAATATGTCAACATTATATGAATTGTTAATAAGTACGCACAATGTTATTATTTTATTGAGAAACTTAGTTTTATAAATAAAATTTTAAAAAATTCATAAAATTGAAAAAACATGTTGATGTACAAAAAAGAAGAGATTTTATCTCACATTATTGAGTTATTTACTTTGACGTGGTTGCATCAAACAATAATATTAAATAAAATAATCCAAAACCAAGACAATCTTTAACACCAACATCTTTTATTACTATATTTAAAAGAAACCCCAAAATGCTTCCTTACTTAGGCACTTTGGCTTACTACCATCTCTGCTCTTGCAGGTGGGTGGCAAGCTTGCCAAAGCAATGAAACATGATTAGAATTCTTGGAAGTTTTACAGATCAAATCTTCACATTTTATGCTCAAAATAGAAAACCAAACATTAATATTTTTTATTTTTTATTTAATTAGTTATGATTTTCCACATTTATAACTATATTTAAAGGATGCTTGACACTTGGCAATGAAATTGCCTAAAAGAGAAAATCAACTATAAAGCTCAAATCCAATAGTCAATTACTTTGTGAGAGATTCAGGTGAAATAGCATTTATATTGATTTAACTAGGCCAATTGTTATATTAATCTCATTTCATAAATTTATTAATAATCTAAAAAAAATTCCTAACAACCAAGTAAATGAAAATCAATTAAATTCAAAATTTATGGACATAAACAAGAAAAAAAAGTTAAGAGAAAATTGAGTAGTAAAAAGAAGTACTTTGTACAGTTATACTCTTTTGTTTCATCATATGTAAACAAGCACATAACTGATTATACAACTTCAAACCATTAAATCAACTTGATCATGAAAAAAAAAATACGAACATGCATTTTATATTACTAAATCAACTTGATTATATATAAAAAAAGAAAACACTTACATGTATGTGGACACATTATTTAAGCTAATAAATAATCTTATGTAAGCTTTTTACAGTATATTGAGTTTTGAAAATTATGAATAATCAAAAAAAGTTTGAATTGACACTTAACAGGGTTCTTGCTTTGACAGATGGTTGTTAGGGCATGAGCTTAAGGTTTAAAGGGTTTGTGGTTGGGTTTTTAGGTATGAGCTTGAGGTCTAACGTTGAGTTTGGATTAAATTTTTTTTGTATCACAATTTATGTTATAGATTTTTCTTTGACTTTTTATATGTGAGTATTTATAAAAAATAATTTTTTTATTTCATTATTTATTATTCACATATCATTTTTTTGTGTTAAATGTAATTAATGCACATATCGACTAACTAAAGATAGGGTTTTGAGAGAGATTGAGTTACTACATATTTTATTTTTCAAAGTGTTAAATGTAACTAAGATAAAGTGTGTTAGCTAAAGATAGGATTTTGAGAGAGATTGAGTTACTATATATTATATTTTGAGTATTAAATGTAATTAATAAAAAGTAATGCAAATCAACTAATTAAGAGATAAAATTTTAAAAGAAATTAAGTTACCATATATTTTTCGTAAGTTTGAAGATTTTATTTAAAGTTTTGTTTTTTCTTAAAATTGTTTATAAGTGTATTTTGTATGAAAGCACCATTATAAATATCACAATAATGATTATAATTATATATTTTATAAAATAATATTTATAATAATATAACTACTATTACATATCGTTTTCACAAAACATTTTCAACTCAATTGAAAAAAAAAATTATCATTCCAAACGTATAGCACGAACAGTAAATTAGTAAAAGATAAAAAAACCCTAAATATTGACTAAATTGTTCCATCTTATTCGAAAACTATTTTCCCATAAATGGAAAGGACTGCTTTCTAATCCTCTCTTATCCAAAACCTTCCACGTCGGAGACAGAGCCAAGAAAGTTGGCTAAGCCAAGCTTCAAAAGGCACAGCCACGAAGCCGGGCCGAAGTGGGGACAGTTGCACATTTATGACGCTTGGTATAATTCTAAAGCATTTGGAATATCCATATCTCTTTCACCTAAAAAAACTTTATATGTAAAATTTAATATTAAATAAATAGTACTACTCTATAGATTACTAAAGCAAATTATTCGCGGCCCTTTCACCGCCACCCTGTCACCGCTCTTTCCTCCAATCTGGCACAGGGGTTGGGAAAAGTCAAACAAAAGGGCAAAATTCGGAATTTAGCCCTTGATATCAAGGTTAAAGTTGGAATTTCATTTCCACTATTTGGTGTTTCTCTGTTTCTTTTTATTATTGTTGTTTTAATAATTTTTGTTAGGAGAGGATTCGGATCTATGGCCTGGATATTCCTGGCTTATACTTGGAATCTTCCCTTAATAATTAATAATATATATCCTGTCGATATCTCCCCTACTTCCCCCTCTAATCTTTTTTATTATTACTATACACCTTTCTCCACCTTTGAACTAAGATCAAGGTCTCTTGCGATCTTTATTTATTGCTCTCCCTTTTTTTTTTCATTTTATTAATGAGTTTTCTTTGCTAAATTAATAAGTTTTAAGATCAACTTTTATTGGTTATTACAAAATTAAAATGCACGGTCTTGAAATTTTTTTTTCAGAAAAGAGATGGGAAAACTCTTATTATAAGCTTTCAAAGTTAGTTAAATTGCCTTAAGTAAATAGTCTATTTATTTGATTTATTTATAAATTTGAAGAAATAATTTAAAAAATTCCCATGTATAATATTCTAATTTTGAATCTATTTGATTCATATATACGACCATTGGGAGCAATAAAAGATGGTATCGAAAATATGTGTCAATATAAAAATGAAATTTTAACTGTCAATTTTAAACGTTGAATATACTTGAATACGTGTGCGATGTCAACTTATGAATGAGTCATTTTTAAATTAAAATATATATTTTTTGAAAAAAAATTGAAGTAGACTTCAAGATTCGAACAATTCGTAAGTCCTAATATTTTCACTCCATCTTAGGAAATTGAGCTCATTCAAGAACTTGTAAGATGCAATTTTAGCTCTGAATTAGCCAATTGTTCTGTTTTGAATTGATTATTCAAACTAATTTATACTTTTGAAAGCATGCAGTAAAGAGTAAAGAGTAAAGAGTAAATTAAAATTGTGTAATATTGGTGATAGAATTTTGAATTTTGTAAAGAATTTAAGAAAGATATTATCCTATACCTATGTGTTCTATGAAGTTGTTGATCAAGTAGTATAAATGCTTAATGTTGAATGCTTAGGTGTACTTGTTTATGAGCTATTTATATCTTTTATATTTAGGCGAAGAAAGATCGTTTAGAGATCAATTTTCGCATGGAAGTTATATAGACGGCCTCTACCTATCCAAATTAATCGAATTTGAAGATATTCTAATTTAATTATGCCCTTGGGTTTCCCCCCCCAAATCTATACTACTCTTGTGTCTCTTTTCCCACCAGTTAGCTTCACCTTGACTTTCCAAGAAACCTAATTTTTCAATAATAATAATAATAACAATAATAATAATAATAACCGATATATTGTGAAATTAACCCATTATTGTATCCAAAAGGTAATTCCATTTTTAAGTTACGTGATAAGAGTATTTTTTTTTTCAAAATACATCTAAAAAAAGTTGTATTTCATTAAAAAATATGGAAGGACATAGATACCCTTAACATTTTATTTTTATTGTTACTTCAGTTTGATTTTTACATAATTTCATTAACTAAGTTAATATCATGTGACTCATGACACTAAACTCAATAAGAAGTTTTAATTATATTAAGTATAGACAATAAGGATTACTTTTATTGAATACATATTTATGATCTTATTTAAAAGCTAGGGACACCAATATATGGATGGCTACATCTTAATTATGGGATAAAAAGATCGTGCATTAATTTCTATTTCATGCCAACTTTTCATTTTTTTAATAAATATATGTAAAAGAACAAATATTGATAAATTTTTTGATTTTATAAAAAAGGACATCTTTGTTCATTATATCTAAATTGTCATCTTAAATATTTTTTATTATACATATTAATAAAATTTATCCAATTTAAAAAAAATAATTAAATGAAAAATTTTCATTAAATAGATTTTTCAATAAATAAAAAAGAATTAAAATTTATATTGAATTGCTTTATTTTTGGAATTTTAATTAATTTTACATTAATGGGAAAAGTAATAAACTCTATGTTAACTATGATATTTTTTGTACATTGGACAAAACTTTACATGTTAATGAAAATTAGGAATGGCAATGAGTATCTTTTCATAGTGTATAAGGTATGGGTACTCTTTGGAATGGGTTCGGATAGCAAGTTTAATGAAAATTTTGGATAATATTCATTGTATTAGTTTCAGTTATTTGTGCAAATGTAACTCTATATTAAAAATATTATTATTATTATTATAAAAATAGATTAAAAAAGCAATGTAACTTTATGTTCCACATATAATTATTATTTAATATTAATAT